CCTTGGACAGTAGTGTTACAGCACAAAATAAGATCATACTGTAAAAATCAGTTCAAAAAGGGCGTAACTCATCAGATCGATACGAAGCAGAAAAAACTCTTACAAAAATACACATCGGACGTGGCAGGGTATTTATACATCACTACCAACAGTAAAGACACAAGTACAGATCTGCGAGTACTCGCAGTTACTTACAGCTAGTTCAAAGCCTATGACTGACGAACAAATGTATCCTTCCAGGAATACACAGCTGTTATATATCTTTAAGATTTGTTAAAAATGGATACATATCTACATGGCCTTCACATCTGTTCCTATATTCCCCTTTAGTAAATAGTGTGATACATGACTGCAGTAGTCCATTCGGTATAAGTTTTACTAATCATTCAAAAATTTCATTTTCCAGTAATCAAAAGGCAGTCCATTCTGGTTTTCCAAACGAAACAAAAGACACCTCCGAGTATTCAATTTTTCTCACATTGAAAACAGCAAAACGGGGAGTGAATATATGTTTTCTGTTGCTAATGTGTTGTGATAAACTTTTTTTTAAAACATGCAAAACATGAATCATTCAATTTTATCTGTCGCATTTGTAAGCCTTTTTGGCTGTTTCCATTCATCATTAGCACAGTGCTCATTATTAAAGTGACAAAAGGCCGCATCCTATACCGCGACAAGCTCTTTTCCTTCTAACTTGTTGATTTTTTTCATTGTAACACAGGCATTTCGTTGTCAGTTTTTACGATGCATATGACTAGTGGAATATGAAATACTAAGTAATTTGCTTTAAAAAGAAAGAAGAGATACCATAATAATATGATAATTCCAATAATAAAATAACAAAACCATTCCTAAAAAGAAAACACGACAAAAAGAAAAAAAAACAACAAAAATAAAACATTACAGAGAAAACTAATGATTAAGCAACATAAACATTAAAGTGAACCCAGGTGTTCTTGAAGGGTAGGCAGGTCCTAGTACACCCATCATGCTACCAAAATTCATGTCCATCAAATTGACTCATGCTTTCAAATTTGATTTATAACTGAACCAACTAAGAACATACATTTGTACGTAATCATTTGCAACTGAGTTCAAGTTAAAGGTTGAATGCATATGGACCTAAAAGAGGTTGCATTATTGTATTGAAAGTCAATAATATATCAGCGATGTTTTAGGCTTACCTTGACGAAATTGAACCAAACTGACAACTTATAACGAATAATGATTCAATGTTCCGTTCTTGTAAATGTTTGAAGACAATTAAATCATATAATTTAATTTTTTAAATTTTCAATTAATATGGTCAAATCGTGGATAATGTTCTTTGAATACATTATGAGACAGAAAGATTATCAAAAGAACATATTTAATCTAATTAAATAGGCTAAATAAAGTTCCAAGTTGAAGAGCATTGAGAACTCAAAAAATCCGAAAAGTAAGCAATAGCGGTTTACTGTTGTTCAAATCTCAAAAAGAATAATTTATACAAAGAATATATTGAAATGCAAAAGAAAAAGAAGATTATTCGATTATTGCACTTTCCACTATTCGGGTAGTGTTGTTTCTTCATATATTAAAACGGTTTAAGATAATCTACATTTGATGTATCCTCCTTAGATAAAAATGTGTTATTAAACGTAAATAATTAAAAAAAACAGGGCATTACACAAGATGATGTCTTCCTAAACTGACGTATGGCTTGACTAAATATCAGCAGATTAATTTGCTATTCTGTTAATATCTGATCGTTCTTTATTATTGCTTTGTTTGTTCTTTTGTGTGTGTTTTTTTTATCATATTTTATGCTTTAATAATAAAGTTTAAATTTTCTACAGATTATTATTGTTTTATCATCTTTTATACTTTAATAATAAAGTTAAATGTTCTACCGATTATTATCAAAATTGAGAATGGAAATGGGGAATGTGTCCAAGAGAAAACAACCCGACCAAACAGCAGAAAACAGCCGACGGCCACCAATGGGTCTTCAACACAGCGAGAAAATCCCGTACTCGAGGCGGGCTTCAGCTGGCCCCTAAACAAATGGTGTACTAGTTCAATGAAAATGGTTATTGTATGTATGTTTACCTTTTGTCATACCTCTGAAATGAGGTTGAGGTATAAAATAAAACTACTTTAAACTCGCAACCTGTTTATGAAATTGTCCAAATCAGGATGTAAGTTATGGCTAATGTTTTTTTTTGTTATTGGAGATTTTGATTTAAAATAAGGAGATGTTGTTTGATTGCCAATGAGACAACTATCAACCAATGTTCAAATGAAGTAGATGTAAGTAATTAAGCAATTATAGGCAACCACAAGGCCTTCAACAATGAGAAAAACCCATACCGTATAGTCGGCTATAAAAGGCCCCGCATGAAAAATATGAAACAATTCAATTGAGAAAACTAACGGCCTAATTAACAACAAAACAAATTAAGAAATAAAAATATGACAGACATGAATTAACGACAACCACTGAACTAAGGTTCTTGGCTTGGGAAATTTTTTTAGGCTCGAAGTGATTGTCATATTGTCACGTAAAGATACATGTGTATTGTCGATTATTGTACGCTGGCTTAGATTTTTCTTAAATCATTTGAAAAAGAATTTGTTTTAAAAAAAATGACTATTTCTAAAATCCTTTTCTGGATTAAATTTTCATCAGGAACGCTCAAAGCCAAATACTAGTATTTGATAGCCAGTGGTGTTTAAATATGTAGAAACGATGAGAGCTTTGTAACAATAAAGGACCCTAAAAAAGCAAAATTCATCTAAGGTCAACTGTGCCCGAGGGAGGTGGAACCTTAGTTTCTTAATAATTTCTTAATTTATCAACGGGAAATTTATAAAAATATGCTATTAGCCATATCAGTACCGAATCACCGACTACGAAGCTGATGATAACTTCTAAGACTAACAGTCCACTAGAATTGGTATCGACCCAGTGCTTGTAAAAAAAGTAACTCTTTATAAAGTTCCTTTATTTTAAGCGCTTTTCTGGATTTACCGTCACCAGGAACGTTCATGGCCCAAAAAAGAATAAGCCAGTGAGGTTATAAATTAGGAGCCATATTACCAGTATCAATGGGAATTTTTAGAAAAAGGTGTTATAAATAATGTCAGTACCAAAGCACTGTCTACTGATCATGAGAAGATGGTACCATTGGGCACTAACAGTCCATAAGTAGTGATATTGATATAGTGCTATTAAAAAAAAGATAACGCTTCAGAAATTTCGTACATCCAAAGATTTTTTTCTAGAGTTTCACGGATTTAAACTAAGAATGTTTCAAAGATATTCATAAGTAAAATGAAAGATTTTTACAAATAATAGCATATCTTTATTAAATCTCAATTATTTCTGTTTATATTTTTCATTTACCAGAATGTACACACTGATTGTTAACCATATATTTTGTAGGAAAATTTACAACTAATTGACAAAATATCATCAGCTAATAAGACCTTTGTGAGAAATCAAGTAAAATCAAAATCTTTCCTAAACGGTCATCTTCATCTTCTTATAAAAATAAGGAGATGTGGTATTATTGCCAATGAGACAACTATCCACCAAAGTTCAAATGAATTTGATGTAAGCAATTACAATAGTATTTGCATGTACCCTACATAATGACTGTACATGCAAACTTTGTACTCTAGGTGGGATTTTTTTCCAAAAAATTCGTAAGGGTTCCGCGGAACCAAGTGTCTCGCCTACTTTTTCTGTTAATCGCAGGCTCAACAAAAATGAGGAAGTAAATCAATAAAAATATTCCTCTTGATACTATCTTTTGATTGTAGGAAGCTTATGCCCAAGTTTGGTAAAAATCCAGGATAGTTTATGAATCTAATAAATGTTTAAAAACTTTAACTGTAGACTGAATGTAATGTTAACTGCAAAAAACAAAATTTCTGTCCAAATTTGGTACAAATCCAAAATAGTATAAGAAAGTTATTAAAATTTTAAAAACTTTTAACCACAGAGTGAATATGTTGTTTCCTGGCAGAAAATCTAAGTCCATTTAAAAGTAAAATACGAAAAAAATGGATTTATTTTTTTACAAAATTTCCTTCTAGATACTAGCTTTTGATCATAAACAAGCTTCTGTTCAAGTTTGGTACAAATCCAAAATAGTATAAGAAAGTTATTAAAATTTTAAAAACTTTAACCACAGAGTGAATGTGTTGTTTCCCAGCAGAAAATCTAAGTCCATTTAAAAGTAAAATAAGGAAAAAATGGATTTATTTTTTTACAAAATTTACTTCTAGATACTATCTTATGATCATAAACAAGCTTCTGACCAAGTTTGGTACAAACCCAGGATAGTTTAAGAAAGTTATTAAAATTTTAAAAACTTTAACCACAGAGTGAATGTAATATTTCCCGGCAGAAAAACTAAGTCCATTTATAAGTTAAATACGGAAAAAATGGAATTTTATTTTTACAAAATTTACTTCTGGATACTATCTTATGATCATAAACAAGCTTCTGTCCAAGTTTGGTAGAAATCCAGGATAGTATAAGAAAGTTATTAAAATTTCAAAAACTTTAACCACAGAGTGAATATTTGTGGACGCCGCCGACGACGACGACGACGACGACGCCGACGCCGACGGAATGTAGGATCGCTATGTCTCACTTTTTCGACTAAAGTCGAAGGCTCGACAAAAAGAATCGACTAACTTTTTATTAAGTTTGCACCTTTTCAACATATGGACTACTGTTTAAATAAAGAGACTTGTTAACTGTAAGAGGAGTTAGACAAACAATCCCTATATCCTTCTGGAAAATTTTCAACAACGGTTTCGTTTTATAAAAATTGATACAATAAAACATATAATAGATGTATTATTAAAATATAAAATTAAAACCTAGCAATTCTGCTCCTGAGACTAATATTTTCGAATCCAAAACGTTAAAAAATGAGTATATCGAATGTAAGTTACACACAAAATAGCCAAACAAAAAACATGCTTAATTATACGATACAGACCTTATGAAAGCTGTCTTTATAACTGTTCACGTTTTGATTATTTTCTACCTTATATATCATTTTAAAAGGAATATAATAACTTAAAAAATACAGCCGTATATTATATCACAACACCTGGCACAAAATTATGCCCAAAAGGATTGTGTTTGACATTTTTCGTAGAAGGCTCTTTTTCAAAAAAATTACAATGAATCAAATTTTTCTAAAAATTATGTAAGCCGAATAGATGTAACATTTGTGAATTATGGATTTTTTCCAAACGAGGCTATTAGCAGGCATATTGCATCCTGATTTCATATGCTGCTTTCTATATGAAAACCGTGAGGTAAACATCGATGAAACAGCAGTCCAACATGACACAAAAGTCTTTTTATCGGTTTTCATGATAACATCATCATTTAATCAAAGATACAAAAATGCTTTCAATATATGTCTCATATACGATCAACCCATTTCTTAAAAGAGGTATATAGTTTGTGTAAAATATATAATTTCAGCTTCTTTTGTTTGTGAAAGATAAATACGATAAACAAAGAATTTGGAATGATATAGCCACAGTATGATTTTTTTGCGCAGACAAGATAAGGCAAGATGAACGTACAAACCGCCAAACCATTATTTGTTGGTTTCACTGGGCTTCACTGGTAGGCAATAAAAGCTACAATCCTCTACGTTCTTTGCACAATAGAGAGATCGTATGGATACGTGACAAATATTCCCCCCAATTAGGGTTATCATTAGCATCTTATTAATTATAAAATTCAGAGAGAACACTCTGAGTCCCGAACTGGGACCAATTCGGGAACCGGTCTCTCTGATACATTCAAAGAAGACTCAATTTAATCTCTGTGGGAACACAGAAGGAAATCCCAAATATAAGCTAGCGTACAATGTGGGTACATGTTCCATTTTCATCTTGCCATATCCTGCCAAATGAGTGGGGTATACCAAAGAATTTCACCCCAAACCCATCTTAAAGCTTAAAGTACCTGATCGAGATTCACTTGTTCATAATTCATAATAGCTTTTAATGACAGAGAAAAAATTACTGGGCCTCCGGGTATCATGAACGTTTCAAGTGCTCCTTGTAAATTGTTCAAATATATCTCATAATCCAGCTTTGCTAAGTGTGTCCCATCATATCTTTATAAATTGCTTTCTTTGGCACGTATATTCCTGTGCCTTATCGCGTATCCACCAATATTCAGGAATAAGTTCCTGACACGGAGATTCACTCGCTTACAAGCCCTTTCAACAGCTTTTCCACAATTGACATTGTGCCAGTACCATCTCATTAATATATCAGACCATTTTATTTCTAAACCTGGATATAATGCATGTAACTGAAGCAAGTCCCATTCTGTTCCATGAATAGTTTCTCTGATGTCAATACACAAAAATCATTTGAGCCAAGCTGAATAACAAGGAAACTCGGGAGGAGCGGTTAAGCAAACTTTGTTTAAAGAAATTAATTGAAATTGGCACCCGCAAGTCAGATTTTTGAGGTTTTAAACTTTTGAATCCTTTTAAAGTTTTCCCCGACTAAAAAGGCATTCGTACCATCTGTTAAATGTTGGATCTTGTGTTGATAACTAATTCCTGACATGTATGTTATGACGGTCTAGGCTGACATACTCCTTAGAGAGAGAAAGGCGATGTAAAATTTTAAATCGCTAAGTTGGGCTGCCCAAATATCTTGTAAGTTATATGATGCGCGAAAAGATTTAAAAGATTCGACTACCGTATTGTACATTTTTTCGGTTTTTTGTGTCATAGAAGAGTTCAGAAGGTGATTTAATTCGCTTTCTGCAGTATCCAAAGGTGGTCTGGAATCGCTGTATTGTACTGATTTGCTTCTTGGCAAAGGTTTCTGAACCATTGAAAATTATAACGGGATAACGAATTAGCTATGACTTTTATTTTACCGGGTATGTACATGTGTTCTGCTTGTTAGACGATAATATATTTCAACGTGGAAAAACTAGATTTCTGACAAGGGACATAAGTCTATTCGATTTTGAAGATTTTTTTTATGATTGTTACCACTGCCTGATTAATCCACATAGAAAAGGGTTCGTTTGAACCCCACCCCCCACCCCCTGTCTGCAGTCATACAACAACTGGGAAAAGTTCTAAATTTTTTGGCCAACAGTTTTGTGCCCATTTCCACTGAAAGTGAATACCAAGGCCGTTGTTTTGTCTGTTAACAGTTTAAGTGTATCGTTTGAAGTCCAAAAACTATCAATCATTACTGTGGCTCCATTAAAATAGTATAAAAAAGAGATCCAAACTTTAATGTCTTCACGCATGTTGCATGACACCCGTATCCTGTGGTGTGCATTCGTTTATTTCACAAGTAGCCTGTATTAATCGTCGACAGAAAGCCCTTCCAGTGGCAATAACTTGGCAAAGTTAAACAACCCTAACTGGTACTGCAACTGGCGCAAAGTTATGTTCTTTGAGTGTAGAAATAGCTGCAATGTTCGTTTTAAATTGGTCAGATTTTCCCCCAGGGAGCCTCATTTTTATTTTTAAGGTATCAAATTCGATCCCTAAAAGGGTTAAACTTTCTGTAAGTTGGAAAGTTTTGTCTTAGGCCAATGGAACCCCCCATTATGTACAGATTCCCCTGAATGTCAAAAGTGTTCGACAAATTGGACTATTTGCTTCGCCTCCAAAAAGGAAATCGTACAGATAGTGAAAGTATATTTGGATTTCCATAAGTAAATTCCGTAAACCAATGAAGCGTTGTTGAAAACTTTTCGAACAGGAAACAGCTGATTGAGGCTCCGTGTGGTAAACAACGATCATAGTTAAACTTACCATCAAAAACGAAACCCAACTTATAAAAATCAGAAGGTGAAACCCTTAGCAAACGGAAAGCACTCTAAATGTCCGACTTGGACAACTTTCCGGCAAATCCTATATTTTGAATTAACCTCACGTCGTCGTCAATACTCAGAGTACTGTACTGAGCAAAATTTCTCATCTATAAAGTCATCCAGAGAGTTATGTAGGAGATGTGAAAGATTATGAATTAAACGAAAATCTCCGTTCTTCTTTTCGGCCAAAAATATAGGTGAAATTCGTAGAGTTGGCAATGGGGATGATTGAAAGGACTGGCAATTTTACCCATAACGATCTCTTTATTCATTTTTTTTTTTTTTTATTTTCATGTATAGTCACACTTGAATTGTTTGCTTGAACAGGTAACCGTGGACCGGAGTATTGCAATTTGAAACCAAATTGAAGACCATTTACTAGTTCTTTTGCTGTTGGTTTTGACGGATAAAATTTTAAAGATTTTTCAACTTTATTTACACAAATAGGGGAATACATGTATCCGAATGATTATTACCTCTTTTTGCAGGTCCCAATAGGGGGGTTTCAAGAGCATCTGAAACATTTATGTTCAAATCAATGAAGAAGTCAGGCAAAGATACAAAGGCAGACAAATTTTCCGTCCAGTGTATCTCTGTTTCAATATGATATCGCCATTCCTCCGTTCAAGAAACAAAGGCCTATAAAAAGTGAAAATTCTACGTGTGATGAGGGTCCAGAATAACCGGTGTTCCGTGATTGCCAATGAGACAACTCTCCACCAGAGACCAAAATACGTAGAAGTTAACAACTATAGGTCACTATAAGACTATATAATAATTTTTTTTTTTTATCTACAGACATATTATTTGCAAATATAACTTTCAGAATAGCCTTTGAAAACTAGTTGCTAAGTCTTCTTTGGCAGATTTCAATACAAAATATAGTATTCTTATATTTACCATTTTCCTAAATTGTTGGCGTAAATAAAATGTTTAATTTTGGCGCAAATGAAATATGTTTTGAGTCGCAAGTGAAAGATTTTTTATTTTTGTTTGCGAAAATGAAATGCAAATTGGCACAAATGCAAAGCACCGCTGCCATCAATACAAAATTTTCATACTAGATTAAAGCATTAAGATATAACAAAAAGACATGTCCTAAAGAAGTTCCTGACATAGGACAGGCACATGAGGTGGCGTAAATCTAGATTTTTGCAGATTTCAATCCTCCTATTTTATAGTTAGATCAGTAGAGTAACAAAGGGTACTGAAGAGTAATGAACCGTGAAAATGAGGTCAAGGTAAAATAAAACCTGCCAGACTGACATGTACATCGTAAAATATTTCCATAAACTAAATCTAGTTGACCTATTGCATACAGTATTAGAAAAACAGACCAAATCACACAAACAACTTTTACCACTGAACCATGAAAATTAGGTCAAGGTCAGATGACACCTGCCAGTTGGACATGTACACCTTATGTAAGGGATAAATTTGTCCTGGTAAAATATGTCAGGGCGGACACATATTACTAGCATAAAAAGTCCATGGTTACAGAATTTACTAGTATTTTTAGTCCGATGTTAGTAATTTATGTCCCCAGACTAATTTTCCTAGGAATTCAAGTCCATGTCATTAATATTCCTAGGTAAAAACGTCCATGTGTTTTTTAAATAGGAAAAATATTAATGAATCAAATCATTTACATTTATACAATATTGGAAATTTAAATATTAAGTTTTAATATTGTTTAAGAGATGTGTATTTATAATTTTAATAAAATTCATGTCCCCAGACTAATTTTCCTAGGAAATCATGTCCATGTCATTAATATTCCTAGGTAAAAACGTCCATGCCCTTTATTTTAAAAGGTAAATATAAATGTTATGTTTTAATATTGTTTAAGAGTTGTGTATCAATTTTTTTAATATAATGTTTGTCCCCAAACTAATTTTCCTAGGAAATCATGTCTATGTCATTAATATTCCTAGGTAAAAACGTCCATGCCATTTATTTTAAAAGGAAAATTTTAATGAAACAAATTATTTACATGAAAACAATGGAAATTCAATTTTTATGTTTTAATATTGTTTAAGAGTTGTGCATTAATATTTTAATAAAATTCATGTCCCCGGACTAATTTTCCTAGGACATCATGTCCATGTCATTAACATGCCTACACTGGTTATAACGTCCGGCAATGTCCTTTTATTTTAATAGGAAAAATTAATGGAACTTTTCAATCTTAACTAAGAAAATATGTTGTTTTTTTATTTGCAATAATTTTTAAAA